GAGACCTGCCTGGCCAACATGGTGAAACCTCATCTCTACTAAAAACACAAAAATTAGCCAAGTGTGGTGACACCGTCCTTAATCCCAGCTAGTTGGGAGGCTGAGGCAGGAGAATCACTTGAACCCAGGAGGTGGAGGCTGCAGTGAGCCAAGATCATGCCATTGCACTCCAGCCTGGGTGACAGAGCAAGACTCTGTCTCCAAAAAAAAAAAAAAAAAAAAGTGTTAGAGAAAACACAACCCATAATACAATACTTGGATCTGCATTCATTCATTCCACAAGTATTTACTGAGTGCTTACTCTGTATCTGGCCCTGCAGTAAGCTGTGGACTAAACACAATAAGCAAATAGATCAAATCTCTGCTTTCCAGAGGCCCACATTTTAGTGGATGAAGACAGATGCTTAAAAGAAAATCAGTCTGCAATATCACATGGTGATTCATACTTTACAGAAAAGTTACAAGTCGACATAGATTGAAAAGTGGGGCAGGCCTGTATTTTACATGCAGTAGTCATGGAATAAAGTGGCATTTGAACAGAGACCTGAGTAAAGTGAAGGACACGACTGTTGGCTCCCTGTGGGAACACTGTTCTAGAAGCCACAGACAGTGCAATGTCCTGAAGCAGGAATGGAGTGTTCTGAGCCGTTTAAGGGAATGGAAGGGATCCACTGTGGCAAGGGATGAGTGCTGGGAGAAATCAAAGAGATGGCCCAGGATCATATACGGCCTTATTGGCCCTGGTAAGGACTTTGGATTTACAGAGCCATGATAATGAAACTGATGATTTCAATAAGTGAGTATAATGCAACTGCTATGAAAATAGTAGGGTGGGGAGGAGGGAGAGGCTGTGAGAGAGCTCCAGGAAGTTGACAGGTAATGCCTGACAATGATGAATTAACAAATGGCCGCATGCACAAAGTATTAGGTTGGTGCAAAAGTAATTGTGGTTTTTGCCATTATGTTTGCACCAACCCAACAACTACAATGGTAGAGGTAAATACTGGAGGAAGCAGCTGAAAGGGTTGAAAGTGGCTTTGCTGGGGGTGAGGAGGAATAGAACATGAGGCTGTTTTCACTATAAGCCTTTAATACGATTTGAGTTTTTGAAAACTGCAAACATTTTTTTTTAAAGCTTGTGAAAGTTCTGGATGATGGGTGGGACCCTCATCTGTCAATGTGTAAGATGTGAAACAGCCCTGACAATGTAGCTGGTGCTAGAGAGACGGGTCTGTGTCCAAGGTTGGAATATGCTGTGTAGACCAGAGATGCTTTACATTCCAGGGTGGTTTTTTCTAGATCACTGTCTTAGTCTGCTTGTGCTGCTATAACAAAACCACAGACCGGGTAATTTATAAGGAATTTATAAATTTATTTCTTGCAGTTCTAAAGATTTGGAGGTCCAAGATCAAGGCACTGGCCTGTGGTATCTGTTGAAGTCTGTAGCCTCACATGGCAGAAAGGGCAAAAAAGGGAACCAACTCCCTCCATCCAGCCCTTTATAAGGGTGCTTAATCCCATCCACAAGGGAGGAACCTTTATGTCTTAATCATCTCTTAAAGGCCCCACATCTAATACTATCACATTGGCAACACCTGAATTTTGGAAGGGACCCTTTCAAACCATAGCATTCCAATCCTGGCCCCCCAAAATTCACGTACTTCTCACATACAAAATACATTCATTCCATCACAATTGCCCCCAAAAGACTTAAATCATTCAAACAGGGACTTTAAAATCTAAGTCCAAATCTTATCTAAATCAGGTGTGAGAGAGACTCATTCACTTTGAGATAAATTTCATCCTCAGGCAAATTTCTCTCTACCTGTGAGCCTGCGAATTCAAATGACTTGCGTACTTTGATTCAAATACAATGGGGTGACAGGCACAGGACAGATGTTTCTAGTTCAAAAGGGAGAAACAGGAAGGAAGAAAGAGTAACAACAGGTCTCAAGTGAGTCCAAAACTCAACATTCGATCTTAGGCTTGAGAATAATGTTATCTGACTCCACATCTCACCTTCTGGACACACTGGGGTGGGTGTTGGGCCCCCAAGGCTCCAGGTGATACCACCTCCAAGGCTTCCCTAAGTATTGGCCTACTGGGGGGCTCTCTGCAGTGGCTCCACCCGGTGACAAATCTCTGCCTGGGCCCTGAGGTCAAAGAAATCCTTTCGATCTAGGTGGAGGCAGCCATGCTCCCACAGCTCATACAGTTATGCATACCTACAGAGTTAGCACCACAAGGATGCCACCAAGGTTTGTAACTTATGCCCAGCCTGCACCTGGTCCTGCTTGAGCCACAGCTAGGGTGACTGAGGAATGCTCTGCCGGAATGTGGGAAGCAGAGACCCAAGGTGGCCCTGGGCAGTGATCTCTGAGACCCCACAGGCACCTGGGCCCTTCCCCTGAAACTGTTCTGCCCCAAGGCCCTAACCCTCTGAGCCTCTAAAGACCAAGGTAGCCCCAAATGCCTTTGGGGTCATTTTTCAAAATGCCTTTGGGGTCATTTTCTCATTGTCTTGATAACTAGCACCTGGCTTCCTTCTACACATACTAATCTCCTTATCAGTCATGTGGCCATACCCGTGGTTCTCTCTCCTACACATACGTTTTTATCTTGTATATGGCTAGGCTGATAATTTTTCAAATATTGACGTTCAGCTTTCCTTTTGATGATAAATTCTGCCTTCAAATCATTTCTCTTTCTCAAGTTTTTCTTTTTTGAGATGGAGTTTTGCTCTTGTCACCCAGGCTGGAGTGCAATGGCACGATCTCGGCTCACTGCAACCTCCCCTTCCCGGGTTCAAGCGATTCTCCTGCCTCAGCCTCCCGAGTAGCTGGGATTACAGGCTCTCGCCACCACACCCGGCTAATTTTTGTATTTTTAGTAGAGACAGGGTTTCACCGTGTTTTTCAGGCTTATTTCAAACTCCTGACCTCAGGTGATCTGCCTGCCTCGCCCTCCCAAAGTGCTGGGATTTACAGGTGTGAGTCACCACGCCCAGCCTCTCACGTTTTTCTATAAGCAGTTAAGAGAAGCCACACAGCATCCTGAACACTTTGCTGCTTTCTATCTCTTCTGCCAAATATCCTAGGTCATCATTCTTAAGTTCTGCCCTCCATAAAGTCCTAGAACACGACATAATTCAGCCAAGTTCTTTACCACTTTATAACAAGGATAACCTTTCTTCCAGGTTCCAATACCTTGTTCTTTATTTCTGTCTGAGACCTCATCAGAATTCCCTTCACCATCCGTGTCTCTATCAACATTCTGTTCATGACCACTTAGGCAATCTCTAAGAAGAACGAGGCTTTCCCCACAGCTCATATCCCACACCTACAGCTCTCCTCTTCTTCTGAGCCCTCACCAGAATCATCCTTAATGCTCCATTCATGGCAATCCAGGCTTTTTTCAGCACTCACTTCAAAGCTGTTCCAGCTTCTATTCATTATCCAGTTCCAAAGCCACCCCCACATTTTTACATATTTGTTATAACACCTGGTTATAACTGTTATAAACTTCTCTGGTACCAGTTTCTTAGTCCCTGTTGTGCTGATATCACAGAATACGACAGACTGGGTAATTTATAAAGAACAAAAATTTCTCACTGTTCTGAAAGCTGGGAAGTCCAAGATCAAGGCACCAGCATCTGGTGTCTGCTGAGGGCTGCATCCTCACATGCAGGAGGACAAATAGGGGGCCAGCTCCCTCCAGCCAGCCCCTGTATGAGGGCATCTACTCCTAGTTCAGGAGGGAGGGGCCCTCATGGCCTAGTCCCTTCTTAAAAGTCCTCTTCTCGGCAGGATGTGGTGGTTCACACCTGTAATCCCAGCACTTTGGGAGGCCGAGGCGGGTGGATCACCTGAGGTCAGGAGTTCGAGAAGAGCCTAGCCAACAGGTGAAACCCTGTCTCTACTAAAAATACAAAAATTAGCCAGGTGTGGTGGCAGGTGCCTGTAATGCCAGCTACTCGGGAGGCTGAGGCAGGAGAATCGCTTGAACTGGGGAGGCGGAGGTTGTAGTGAGCCGAGATCGCGCCATTGCACTCCGGCCTGGGCAACAGAGTGAAACTCTGTCTCAAAATAAAAGTCCCCTTCTCTTAATGCAACACCTGGATTTTGGAGGGGACACATTCAAACCACAGCAATCACCAACAACTGGTATTTTTCTCCCACCTTACATATTCTTTAGGTAACCACCCAGGCCAGTGAGGAAAATAATCAATCTACTTCTGAATAAATCCTAGCTATAGTCTCATGCTACTGTAAATGGGATAAAAGCAAACCATGCCCGAACATTTTTGGAATAAAGTGATGTTTATACCATTATGCTGATTTTTACAAAATGTGAATCATATTGACCACGTTCATTTGTACTAGACCACCACACCAAAACTTCTTAAAATTATTTTCCAATTAGGTCACAAATGATGTTGTGCTTTCGTTTGTACATCTCTAATTTCCGGGAGATTTATAATTTGTATTATTTTGTGAATCATCCGTTCATGTCTTCTGCCTATTCTCCTACGGTCTTTTTCTTATTAATTTGTAGACTCTAATGTAATAGCTGTTTACCATACAGCTGCTACAAACATGTTTCTGATTTGTCATTTACCTTTTGATGTCCCTGATATTAAAAGATGCTTATATAGCTGAATATTTTCTTTTCTAGTTCCCCCCCTTTATGTTTATGCCTTGGAAGGCTTCTCTACCTGAGATCAATAAATATTTACCTATCCTCCTCTTTCCCCACCCTCATCCTTTTATTTTGCCCACGTTTAAAGCATTACAGACAGTGGAGTCCAGTTGGTCACGTAACTCACCTTATAGATGAGACTTCGGTGACGTAACATAAAGTCTTGTTTTATGAGAATGTGTTGATCCTTCTTAACATGGCTTATTATTTGCAATCTCAGGCACGTATTGTATTTCCTGCCAAAATATACATTTGTTTGCCTTCTTCATTAGCCACCTAACAGCCTTCCCCTAATTTTTTAGGTGTCCTGATGGCAAATTTCCAGGGCCACGCGCTCCCAGGGAGTTTCTTCCTGATCATTGGACTGTGTTGGTCAGTGAAGTATCCACTGAAGTACTTTAGCCACACACGGAAGAACAGCCCACTGCATTACTATCGGCGTCTTGAGATCATCGAAGCCGCAGTCAGGACTTTGTTTTCTGTCATCGGTAAGAGCAGGGGTCATTTGGTCCAGGGAATCTCCTCCTCATACCCAGAACCTTTAATTCATGTTTTCAGCCCTGTGAAATAGATGTTTCCACTGGTGGAGATAATAGGGCAACAATTTCCAGATGGCCACTAGACTATTTTATTATAACATCCATTGCGTACAGCTTTATAATACTAACGGTTGACGGCTCTCACATCATGGGACACTGTGAAAAACTATCAAATCAACAAGGACACAGGTATGGAAAGTTGTAGGAGCAAAACACCCACTGTATGAAAAAGATCTGACACAAATACAAAGAGAAAAAAAACAAATAGATTAGGCTCGTGTACCTGAGCTGTGACAAAGTAGAAAAATCACCTTTTTCCTCAATTGTCTCTCCCTCCAGATCCTTACAGTAGTTGACACTCAACCCATTGGCTCTTCCTCATCCTCAAGTCTCAAGTGCGTAGAGAGAGAGAGTTCATGCAGATTAATAAACTAGCCAGTGGGAGAGAAAAAGCAGCAGAGGGCTGTTGGAGAGGGAGTTTCCTTCACTCTGCCCCATTCCAACAAGATCCACCCACTCCCAGTTTCCTTTGCATCCACTGGGGCCCTCCAAGAACAAGCAGTGATGATAGTAACAAGTGTTCTTCCTCAGGACCAGCCCCACCTGGGGGGAATGAGGGGTCTTAATCTGCAACTTAAAATCACCACTTGTCATCAAAGGCCTGTGGTTTCTTGGAGAGAGCGAAGCAACATCGCTGGCTTCTCTTGGAGGAAGCAAAGCTTTACGGAGCTTTGTTGGCCTCATCGTGCCGAACTTCCCCACTCACCATTCACGCATCAGAGGCTTCCCGTGAGAAGTGACAGGGACCTGCGGCTTAAAGGGTCAGGACAGCGTCAGCCTTGCCTAAATAAAGCTAGGACAATTACAGCATTTGGTCCCTTGACTGGGTGAAAATGGTACTCATTCAACAGCTCTCTGGCACTCCTACCACATGCCAGGAAGTCACTGTTCCAGGCACAGGAGATACGCTGGGGAACCACAGTCTCTGCTGTCACAGGGCTTCCATTCTAGTGTCACTGGGACTTTTCCACTCCTCGACTCTTTGTGTGGGAATTCAAAAAGGATCTGGCTTGAGAAACAAATATCTGGGGAACAGAGTCCAAAATGTCATCATGGAGGATTTCTTCTAGGCTTCCCCAAGAACATTTTGGGTACCAGGCATAAAAACAAATCTTTTGCCAGGCGCGGTGGCTCAAGCCTGTAATCCCAGCACTTTGGGAGGCCGACACGGGCGGATCACGAGGTCAGGAGATCGAGACCATCCTGGCTAACACGGTGAACCCCCGTCTCTACTAAAAAATACAAAAAACTAGCCGGGCGTGGTGGCGGGTGCCTGTAATCCCAGCTACTCGGGAGGCTGAGGCAGGAGAATGGCGTGAACCCGGGGGGGCGGAGCTTGCAGTGAGCTGAGATCCGGCCACTGCACTCCAGCCTGGGCGACAAAGCAAGACTCCGTCTCAAAAAAAAAAAAAAAATCTTTTGCCTTGCAAATTAGGTATAAAAGTAGAAGGGATAAGAACGAAGAGCTATCCTGTGGCGCAGTTTCGTCATTTTCTGGCCCACACCATGGGGCCTCTGCCTTGTTTACCCAGTGTTTTAAAACACAGAGCTGGGAGGGGCACAGGGCTTGCAGAGCTGGCTCTGTGCCCAGGAAGGACACGCACTCAAAGTCAGCCCTGCAAACACGCACCTGGGAGCCGCTTGCCTCCCTTGGCACGTACAGGTATCTTCATTACCAGTGTCTCTGCTCAGATTCTGCTTTCAACCTAACTGTTTCTGTCTGGGATTTCTTTCACTGCTCACTTGGCAGGGAAGCCCAGGGATTATTCCATCAGCCACACTTCGACTTAAGTGATGATGTCTTGCTCATCTCCACTCCTGGACAAACCTCCTGTGGATCTGGTTGCGTTTGCTGATTCTTCTACCCTCAACCCCAAACCCCTAAAAGGAACAACAATGGCAAGATGTCTACACAGGTTACTCAGCACACACCCTATTTTATACTGCAGCAGCTGCACCTGAGGCAGCAAAGTAGGTCTGCTGACCCGCAGGCCACCCTCACCTCACCTCATCTCCGCTTCATTCACGCCTTTGGGTTGTTTCTTGCTGCTATTTGTCTTGGAGTCATTCTTCCCTCTAAAACATCCATTCTCATTTCCCTGCAGGGATCCTGGCAGAGCAGTTCGTTCCGGATGGGCCCCACCTGCACCTCTACCATGAGAACCACTGGATAAAGTTAATGAATTGGCAGCACAGCACCATGTACCTATTCTTTGCAGTCTCAGGAATTGCTGACATGCTCACCTATCTGGTCAGCCACGTTCCCTTGGGGGTGGACAGACTGGTTATGGCTGTGGCAGTATTCATGGAAGGTAATTCTGTGGAACGGATGGAGAGGAAGGATAGCCTGACAAGCCATATTTATGACGGATCAGAGTACAAAAGACCAGAAATGTTGCAAATATAATAACCTTCCCCAGAAAATCCACATCTCTGGGCTGCCAAAACCTGAACAGGACCTAGTGCTCTGCTCTGGATGGGCAGGCGGCATATTCCCGAAAGCAGCCCGTGAAGGCTTTGAGGCTTGCAGGCAGCTCCCAAGGCCCCTGGTTAACACTGCAGGAGTCCTCCTTGCCATCCCACTGCCGCCAGCAGTCCCTGCTCACGCACGTGCATACTCCTCAGTGTGGATGTGTGCACATACACATGCGTGTACACACAATACCCCACCTGGTTGAATGCCACCATGCAGGGGATACATCCCTTTGGTTAAGCGAAACCACACTGTACCCTTCACCCAGGGAGGTACCGTCTTGCCCCCATCATAAGTCTCAGGAGACCCACCCCGCTGCTAGGGGCACGCTCCCAGTATGACTCACACTGACTGGGGTATGAAAATACATTTTGTCATCTAACAACCTCACTTCTGTACCTCGGCAAGTCGAAAAAGGTTGAGGGCAAAACTGAATTTCAAGTATACACATAGTCTGTTACAAGTCAGCAACATGCTTCAGCCGACCCATCCCATACTGACCCACCATGGGTTCCAGAGAAATTTTAAGATACAATCCCCGGCTGCTTTATACTCCTAACATACTCACGAAATACACTTACTCGCATCGGTTTGCTGCCTGTAACGTTATGTAAACTAACTTCCTAAACGCTGAAGAGTCTAGCTGTGACAGGTGTAGGAGGAAACATCGGTGATGGTGAAGGCCAAGCGTGGCACTGACAGCTGCCATCTGGTTTGTGGCAGGTTTCCTCTTCTACTACCACGTCCACAACCGGCCTCCGCTGGACCAACACATCCACTCGCTCCTGCTGTATGCTCTGTTCGTGGGGTGTGTTAGTATCTCCCTAGAGGTGATCTTGCGGGACCACATCGTGCTGGAGCTCTTCCGAACCAGTCTCGTCATTCTTCAGGGAACCTGGTTCTGGCAGGTGATTTTCCACACCCAGGCCCCTCGCTGGTATGGATGGAGCAGCCCCACCGAGTGTAGCCCTGATTATATGGGGTTTGCAAATGCAGCACTAACATGCCATGCAAAGGGTTTAGATGACCCTTTTGCCCCCATGCCTACCCTTTGACTTCTAGTTTTATCCATTAACATCCAGAGAATGCGTTAGCAATCCAAAATGTAGAGCGTGCACAGTGAGGTTCAGCTGCCCTCCCCAGAGGAGGGGCTGATGCCTTTCACAGGCTCTGCCTGCTAAACTCTCCACAGGAAATGTGGGCCCTGAAGTTCTGTTTTGTTTCTTTCGAGAGAGAATCGCCCTGTCACCCAGGCTAGAGTGCAATAGCGCAATCTTGGCTCACTGCAACTTCCATCTCCCAGGTTCAAGCAATTCTCGTGCCTCACCGTCCCGAGTAGCTCAGGTTACAGGTGCCTGCCACCACATCTGGCTCATTTTTTTTGTATTTTTAGTAGAGACAGGGTTTCACCAGGTTGGCCAGGTTGGTTTCGAACTCCTGACCTCGTGATCCGCCTGCCTCGGCCTCCCAAAGAGCTGGGATTATAGGCATGAGCCACTGCACCTGGTCCTGTTGTGTTTTTAAGTAAGCCTTAAAATTAACCTGAAGTCATTTTTGTTTTTTTGTTTTTTTGTTTTGAGATGGAGTCTTGATCTGTCACCCAGGCTGGAGTGCAGTGGCATCTTGGCTCACTGCAAGCTCCACCTCCCAGGTTCACGCCATTCTCCTGCCTCAGCCTCCCAAGTAGCTGGCACTACAGGCGCCCGCCACCACGCCCGGCTATTTTTTGTATTTTTAGTGGAGACGAGGTTTCATCGTGTTAGCCAGGATGGTCTCAATCTCCTGACCTCGTGATCTGCCCACCTCAGCCTCCCAAAGTGCTGGGATTACAGGCATGAGCCACCGCATCCGGCCTTTTTATTTTTTGAGACGGAGTCTTGCACTGTGGCCCAGGCTGGTGTGCAGTGTCATGATCTCAGCTCACTGCAACCTCCACCTCCAAGGCTCAAGCAGTTCTCCTGTCTCAGCCTCCCAATTAGCTAGGATTACAGGCACCCACCACCACACCCAGCTCATTTTTTGTATTTTTAGTAGAGACAGGGTTTCACTATGTTGGCCAGGCTGGTCTCGAAACTCCTAACCTCGTGATCCGCCTGCCTCAGCCTCCCAAAGTGCTGGTATTACAGGCGTAAGCCACCGCACCTGGCTACAGCCATTTTTCTACGTGAAAAGCTCTTTCTATGCTAACAAAGTGTGGGAACTACGAGGTGGTGGTAACATATGGGCCACTTCGGTGGCCACAGGAGGATGGCTAGGTTGCTTCTCAGGACAACCAACCATAAGACCAACTTCTCTGTGTAATCCCCTAGATTGGGTTTGTGCTGTTCCCACCTTTTGGAACACCCGAATGGGACCAGAAGGATGAGGCCAACCTCATGTTCATCACCATGTGCTTCTGCTGGCACTACCTGGCTGCCCTCAGCATCGTGGCCATCAACTATTCTCTTGTTTACTGGTATGTCTGAGACTTTAGTGAAGCTTTTCCTCCTAGCTCTAAGCAGGACTGATGTGATTAATTCGCGCCATCTGAGTGCCGACTACATGTCAAGTTCTGTGCAAGGTACTCTCATGCAGGGAAGGTGTCACTACCCTTATTTGCAAACAAGGGGAATGAAGCTTTTCAAAATTAAATTACCTGTCTGGGTCATAGTAACCCGAGGGACCCAGGTTTCAAATGCAGGTCTCACAGATTTTAAGCCTGTGGTGTGGTGGGGAAAACTGAAATGGGAATCAGTACCGGATGGTAGTCCCCGTTGTAACGGGTTCATTCTGGACCCATCATCTTACTTCCAGACCTGCCCTCCCTGCTTCCCAGAGACGATGTGACAATCAAAAAATAAACCAGAGCAGAATGTTAAGACAAACTGCACTCCACCCCTCACTGAAGTACTCATTAGAGGTAGATAGATAACAGCTATGGACTCCTATGCACTTGCTGTGCCCCAGGCCCAGTGGAAAGCAGCTACACTCTATTATCCCATTTAATCTTCATTGCTCTATGACGTATGCGCTGTTAAGGCTTCAAAAAGCTGAGTAACTTGACCAAGGTCACCCCACTAATAAATGGCAGAGCCTCTCAGTGCAAGGGTGACTTTTAGCAAATGGTATTACCAGTTCTATTTGCTGTTTGGCTGCCCCTACCTTTCTTTCTAGGTCATTTCTCTAGATCCCAAGTAGAATATTAGGTTGGTGCAAAAGTAACTGTGATTTTTGCCATTATTTCATCCAGAAAGAGTTCCATATGGACCAAAGAGAAGGGAGCTCAAGTCAGTTTCTTCTAGTTCTGCTGCCCAGCCACTGAAACAGTAAACTAAGATAGGCAGGAGACTTGGCCTTAATTCTGACATTCAGTAGTTTCCACCAATGCCCCTTTATCTACTGGTATTTCCTAAGAAGTCTAGTTTATAGACATGTAATCACAGTATTTGATAGAAATATAAAGAAAATAGTTTAAGAACCAGTAGATGCCTTCACATCCTTGGGTAATGGATTAAGGGAATCTCTGGCTAATTGGCTCTTATTGTTTCTCTATTAAAGCCTTTTGACTCGGATGAAGAGACACGGAAGGGGAGAAATCATTGGAATTCAGAAACTGAATTCAGGTGACACTTACCAGACCGCCCTCTTGAGTGGCTCAGATGAGGAATGAGCCGAGATGTGGAGGGCGTAGACGTCCCACCGAACAGCTGGAATGAATGGAGTTCATCCCCCTACCTGAATGCCTGCCGTGGTCTGATCTTAAGGGTCTATATATTTGCACCTCCTCATTCAACACAAGGCTGGAGGTTCTAGAACAGGAAATCAGGCCTACAGCATCCTGTGTATCTTGCAGTTGGGATTTTTAACATAATTTAAAGTCTGTGTTGGTATAGTACTCCTCATAAGGAAAAATTAAGTAAGGCCTCCAAGCAGCAGGCCTTTGTGCCTCAGTGTAAAGAGAAATCAAGAGATGCTAAAAGCTTTACAATGGAAGTGGCCTCATGGATGAATCCAGGATATGAGTCCAGCAGGAGAACTTGCTGCTTTTGGTAACTTATCCCTTTTTCTCTTAAGAAAGCAGGTACTTTTTTATTAGAAATATGTTAGAATGTGTAAGCAAATGACAGTGCCTTTAGAGTTACAACTCTAACTTACATATTTTTAAAAAGTAAAATAATTCACAAGCTTTGGTATTTTAAACTACTGTTAAACATATCATAACTAATCATACCAGGGTACTAAACCACTGTTTATAAGTGACAAAATTAGGCCAAAGGTGATTTTGTTTTAAATCAGGAAGCTGGTTACTGGCTCTACTGAAAGTTGGGGCCCTGATGTTCTGACTCCTCAAAGTCACCCTAATAGAAGATCTGATGGGAAAGCTGTATAATGAGGTAGAGAGAAAAATACCAGGTACGGAAGGCTTTCAATTTTAATATAGCTGAAAGCAAAGGATAACGAATTCAGAATTAGTAATGTAAAGTACTGAAACCCTCATCTTGCTCCTGGATCTGGTCTTTTTAAAAAACTTCCTTCACTGCACCTGTAATCCCAGCACTTTGGGAGGCCGAGGCAGGCGGATCACAGGGTCAGGAGATCAAGACCATTCTGGCTAACATGGTGAAACCCCGTCTCTACCGAAAATACAAAAAATTAGCCGGGCGTGGTGGCAGGTGCCTGTAGTCCCAGCTACTCAGGAGGCTGAGGCAGGGGAATGGCGTGAACCTGGGAGGGGAGCTTGCAGTGATCCGAGATCACGCCACTGCGCCCAGCCCAGGTGACACCTGCCCAGCCCAGGTGACAGAGCAAGACTCTGTCTCAAAAAAAAAAAAAAAAACTTCCTTCAACAACTATTTATTAAATATCTACTTTGCAACAGCACTGAAATGGCCGTAAGGCCTCCTGAGACAGGTGTCCAGCAAGGAGTTTATAGTCAAACAGGAGAGACATGCCAGTAGTTACACCGAGTGTGATGGGTGCTATGGGAGACAGGTACAAGCCACGATGAGAAAAAGGAGAGGAGGGGAAATACAGAACTTGCCCTGTAGAAAAAACCCATCCCAGGCTGAGAAAGTAGCACATTAAAAAAATGAAAGCATAAAAAATATGGAGAACTTAAAAAGATTAAGTTCTACAAACTGATAAAAGTGGGTTAGGAGCAAGTTGATGGGCCTTAGACACCTTTTAACATAATTTAAAGTCTGTGTTGGTATAGTCCATGTGCATAGTATTTTCCAGATTCTGAGATGCGCCCGATCTCATTTGGTTCTCACAACCGCTTGTAATGTGTAAGAACATGGGGGTCTTTCACAAAAGCTGGCAGTCCTAGCTGGGCACAGTGGCTCGTAATCCAGCATTTTGGGAGGCTGAGGCGGGTAGATCACGAGGTCAAGAGATTGAGACCATCCTGGCCAACATGGTGAAACCCTGTCTCTACTAAAAATACAAAAATTAGTTGGGTGTGGTGGCGGGTGCCTGTAGTCCCAGCTACTTGGGAGGCTGAGGCAGGAGAATCACTGGAACCCGCGAGGCAGAGGTTGCAGGGAGCCGAGATTGCACCACTCCACTCCAGTCTGGCGACAGAGCAAGACTCCACCTCAAAAAAAAAAAAAAAAAAAAAGGAAAGAAAAGTTGGCTGGCCTAAGACCACACAGATGCCAGGTGGCAAAGCCAGTCTTCAGTATGACTCCAAACCAGGCCTCTCTCTCACCATTCCACCCTGCTACGTCACACAAACCCAGGAGAGAGAACTTACATCCAGCACTGCATGCGCTTTGGAAGAAATGCTGTACTTCACTAAGTGAAGGTAACCTCCCAGGGTCAGCCAGCCTTTCAGAGTTGAAGTCACTGCTTAGGGATTCAAAATGAGCTACTAAAAGCACTAATTTAGTTACTAGAGAACCCCGGGTTCCACTTTCAGGAGCCACCGTGGTTGGCCAGTGGAGAAACACAAGCATTCTTCATTCAACAAGTACTGAAGGACCTATTATTGGCAATCAACATAAAATGTCTTCTTTCCCTGGGGATTGGAGGTGGGCAGAAGGACCTATTCAGTTTTACTTTCAAAGAAAAGATCCACATGAGTTATTTTTAAGTGTACCATGTTTTAAGAAAATGTACTATTTTCTCCAGAGTGAGGGGCTGAGGTGTGAAGAACAGCTATATTAAAATGTATTTAGATGCCCTTCACACAGCAAGGCTTGTGATGCCTCCATGGAAGTAATCAACCCTATCATAAACATTATTAGATGTGGTATTAAAGTATACACTGATGACAATACTATTCTCCACATTCTGTCTCAGATGTGTTCTCTGAATAATTTTACCAATCTCTGTCAACCAGAGGCTCAAGCGTTGCCACCAGATTCCTTCTGGAATCATTCCCTACAAAACACCCACCATGGTCGAATACAGTGGCTCACGCCTGTAATCCCAGCACTTTGGGAGGCTGGGGCAGGCAGATCACCTAAGGTGAGGAGTTGGAGACCAGCCTCGTCAACATGGTGAAACCCCATCTCTACCAAAACCACAAAAATTAGCAGGGCTTGGTGGCGCATGCCTGTGATTGATCCCAACTACTCAGGAGGCTGAGGCAGGAGAATCGCTTGAGCCCAGGAGCCAGAGGTTGCAGTGAGCTGAGATTTCGCTGCTGCACTCCAGCCTGGGCTACAGAGTGAGACTCCATCTCAAAAACAAAAACAAAACACTCACCATAGCTGCGCCATTCATCTATCAGAAACCTGAAACCAGCATATGAAGGAAGCTAGTGTGGCACAAATTCTGGGCTGTCACCGTAAACAACTCCAGTAGGGAATTTCCACTCTACGCTATTGTTATTCCACCCACAGGCTGGATAGTGCCGAAGGTACACGTCCTGACGAGTCAGCATCCTGAAGCAACCTGAACTTTACACTCACTCCCTGCTCTCCAGAATGCACACGTCTGCATGTGCAAAAAACGACAAGCAGAGTCAGTTGACCTCAGCAAACAGGAATGCGGGCAGGGCTGTCGCTGAATGCCAGAGCTACTTTTATGAAATTCCTTGTTAATAAATTCAGAAGGGGTTTGTTTGTAGCTGGCAGTAAATACCTAAGACAGGATCGCTGGAATTTCTACCTTTTTTTTTGTTTGTTTAAAAACTGCCACATGGCTTTCTAGGTGAAATGTGATTCTTGAAAATAACAAAGATACGCAAATATCAAAGGATTATCAAACGCAGACACACTCGCCTTTCTCAGGTGGAAAGACCCATTTCCCCGCACTACATCCTACCTCTCCCCACTGCCAACCTCGTCCCGTGCCAGTCTACTTGCTCATCACAAGCTCAACTTGGGAGGCCCATTCACCTCTGCTCTCTGCAATGCAGGCTTCCCACCTCCTAAGACTGGATCGCCCCCAGGCTCGCCAGGATACATCACAGCCCTCCTGCCCGGAGGAAGGCAACAGAAAGAGACTGGACTTAGAATCAGAAGCTTCTCTTTAACTTCAACTCAGACTCATGTCTTCCAACGGTTAAAAGAGGAATGATGACACTGGTTTTACAGAATTGCTCTAAACGAAATGTCTGTGAAAGAGCTGTGGAGCCAGCCAGCCTCCCAGATCCTCCTCTGCTTCTTGGCAACCGCTTAACCACCCAACAGCTAAGCCAGCCTCCTTCCATCCCACATCCTCCAGCTCCACCTCTTCACCCAGAACCCACAAGAGCTTCAGTACACTCCAAAAATTAAAGATATGTTTTTAATAATTTGGGCACTTTCAAGAGTCAGGGAAGCCCTATCACCTCAGAAAGCCTTTACCACTCACTGCTGCCCCAAAACAAGAGACACATATATTGTTGACAACCAGTGCTTGCATTAATTACATTTTAAAGTATCGTCCTGAGCTCTCCCTGTAGCTGACAGAGGCTGAGAAGCATGAAATAGCCAGGATTAAATGACCTGCAAATCTAGACTGGCTTCTTTTGGGGCTGGTAGTACCAGGCAGGCAGATCCCTGTTCCTTGCACCCCCACTGTCCTCCACCGTCTCTACTCTGGAGCAAGGCTCAAAAAACTTTTTTTTTTTTTTTTTGAGACAGAGTCTCACAGGCTGGAGTGCAGTGGCATGATCTCGGCACACTGCAACCTCCGCCTCCCAGGGTCAAGCAATTCCCCTGCCTCAGCCTCCTGAGTAGCTAGAACTGCATGCGCACACCACCACGACCGGCTAATTTTTTGTAATTTAGTAGAGACAGGGTTTCACCATGCTGGTCAGGATGGTCTCGATCTCCTGACATTGTGATCTGCCCGCCTCGACCTCCCAAAGTGCTGGGATTACAGGTGTGAGCCACCGAGCCCAGCCACAAAAAAAAAAAAAAAAAAAAAAATTTCTTAAAAGGCCATGTAGGAAATAGTTTAGGCTTCAGGGCCACACAGTCTCTATGTCAACTACTCAATTCTGCCTTCGAATCTGAAAGCAGCCACAGATAATACAAACACAAATGGGTCTGGGCTGTGTTCCAATAAAGCTTTATTTACAAAAACAAATGGCCGGCCCCAAGAACCTGGTTTGCAACTCTTGCTCTGGAGCAGAGCAGAATGTGTACTATCTGAACTACAACAAAGTTTGTGCTGCAAAAGCAGCACCTCTGCTGTCATTCCCCTCCTCTCTGTCCACTGGCTCTGTACGTCCATGTGAACAGGCTTGCCAAGAAGGATGAAGCGGGCAGGTGAAGCTGAGGGGGCCACAATCAAGATCCCAACACCCCTATCTTTAACAGGCAGTGCCAAGAGAATCCCATTTCAGGGGACCCACTCTACCCCGCTGCCTACGGTGTCTTCCCATCTTACAGCCTCTTGATTATTATGCAGTTACCAAGTTGGCTACCACCTTACTAAGATTCTTGCCATTTTCTTATTCTAGTCAAAAGAATAAGTCACTTTGGTGGAGAGGGCAGCTAAAGCCCAAGTTTGTATTTGATAAAGATGTACAACAGGTTCTTTAAAAAAATAAATTACATAAAATTTTCTGGACACAAACTCCTATCCAGACCACTAGTCATGGAGAAGACCAGAAGCCAAAAAATACAATCCTCATGGAGAACCAGCTTATTCACTGTCTGTGCACTCTGCGACTGGTAAGCCTTCCCTGGGGGTCTTACTCTCAGAACTCTGGCTTGTAGGACATAACTGGTACCTCCTGCAATTCCAACAGAATATTCTCCTAGATTGGTAGACAGCAGACCCTGGAACCGTGGAGTGAACCTTTCTCAGGGTGCTCCACTATGGCACGTGGCAGCAGAATCCAGGCCACTGTTGCCATCACCCCCATCTTGGCTGCCTTGAACAGGCAAGCTTAAAAGAATGATGCAACCTCCCTGCTCCCTTCTCAGCCAGGACAGACCAGGCATGGTGTTTCATGGAAGCCATCCTCTCTCATAATCATTGTTGCTCAGGTGCCTGTTTAGGAGATGGAGCTGTAGTCACAACAACAGTGGAGACTGCTTTGGAGGAGCCAGAAGCTGTTCCCTGTTGGAGATGGGATGCAGGGACAGTCTGGATGCGCACCTGTTTGCAAAGAGAGAAGGTCAGGTCAATGGACTGCAAGTGGGCTCACCAGTTAAGAACAGCAGTGGAGTCAGAGAGGAGCCCGATAGGGCGAAGAATTTGCCCTGGGCCTTACCTGTGTGGCCTGACCTTGCTGCTGAAGCTGCTGCAACTGCTGAGCAGTGAGGAAACTAACAGGCTTATTGCCAGCAATAAGCTTAGTGCCCGCTGGCATAGTTGTGAGGATGATGTTGCGGCCCAACCCACTGAGGCTGTGGAGGGAAAGCAGGGGTGAGGTATAACAATATGGGTGGGTATTCTCTGGCCCAGATTTAGGCCATGCATTGAAGGACAACAGGGAGGTCTGTGCCAATGAAAATCCCAGCATTTCAGATTGAAATGGAACCCAATTGCTGAGACCACCTTTCTTCTAGCTTTTCCACTTCCCATGGCAGGAGAAGACAGTAATCCCAGAAGCCCCTAGTGCTCTGGATAAAATGGCCCTTGGCTCCTGGCCCTGACCAGCAGGAATAGTGGACAGGGCCCCAGAGAGGTATGCATGTCCGCAAGAAACCCTCCCCCTAATAGCCACATCTCATAAGCTGCCCTGAGACTGCCGGACTGATTTCAATGTGCCCTTTATCCCTGTTTAAATCAAGGCCACAGGTGGCCCTCATTCCCTGAACTGCTTCGGTTCAGAGCTCAAATGGCAAAGCGAGGGCCACAGGTGGTCCTCACATCTAGCTGAGCCCCATCTTAGCACTCCCCACACCCTTTTCTCTCCAGTATGTATCACCACGCATGCTGCTTTATTATTACTTCTCTACTTTACAATGTATGCTTGGAGAACAGCAAGGATTTTCATCTGTTTTAATCACGGCACCTAAAACAATACTAGGTGCTCAATAAATACCGTCGATGAGCACAATAAAGGAGAGGTGTCAAAGGAGGGACCCAGAAAGACCAGCCACTTTGCCATTCGGTGACAAGGACTGGTAAGCCCTGCCTGCCACCTCCACCCCGAAACTGGTTCCTTCACAATGACATAGTACTTACTTGGCTCCAAGGTTGCCTTTGATGATGGGGGCTGTGACCACACTTTTGCCCTTCATTGGCTGGCTGATCACAGACAGGGGAACTGTGATCCGTGTAGGCAACTTCCCCTAGAAAGAAAAGGCAGTCAGGTTTTGTAAGACAGGAGGTAAGGAAAACCAGCAAGTGTCACCTCCAGGGCATCAGGAACTGAGGAGCAAGCACTACAGATGCTGTGAGTCCCCAGAACCCAGCAGGGTCTCAAGGCTCCTAAGGTTTGGGCCCAGGAAACCCTAACGAAACTACTTATACCATAGTCAGGTGAAATCTGATCTTTTATCATCCTCTTTCATGCTACCAAAAGCAGCAGCAACCCTATCTATCTGCTTTCAACGGGATAAAACCTGTATCTGAATCACAAAGGCAGGTGTGTCCTCGCTTTAGCACAGTCCAAGATTCTGAGTTCCTTGGAGGACAGAGACTTATCTCTGTATCCCTCAGTACATGGCACAGTGCTGGGCACACAATCACTATTTGGTGAAATAAATTCGAGGAAGGACAGAGGACCTCAAGAGTTAATACCTAAAGCACACAGCTACTCACTGGAGTGCAGGCCCACTGGTGACGAACAAACAGCAGGGAGTGCTAGATTAGGGAGAGGCCATGCTCTCTGGTGCTTGCCATTTCTCCCGGAGATAAGAGAGATTAGCTAGGGGACACTAATAATAA